CGTGACAGCTGACTAACACCCAGGTACCTATTTTACTGCTAGGTAACAGGGGCATAGGGTGAAAGAAACTCTGCCCGATGCTTCTCGCCGGCGCCTGGGATCAAACCCAGAACCACAAGATCACAAGTCCAGCATACTTTCCACTCTGCCGACTGGCTCCCTTGAAAGTTCCCTTGGGTTCCCGTAGGTTCCCTTGGGTTCCCAGATGGACTAAAATTCTGAGCCTAATACTAGAAACCAAACTAACATCGATTGAAATAACGGTAAAAGGGCTTGCTGTGTGCATGATGACCAAGATATTGACTAGACCACGAATCAGTTCACTTAAATAGATAATCACTGGAGCACTAACTCAGGACAGAAGAGCCTAAAATACTAACATGTGGGCCAATTGTGTTATAAATAACATCAATACATCCGATATAACAAATGTAATCACTGAGAAGGGTGTTGACGAAATACATGTAGACTTTGTTATGCAAGCCCCTTGGGAATCGTTGCCTTTGAGATTATGGCTAAAGAAGGAAAAAAGAAACAGACTAATTCTCATCTGCTATGTAATATTGCACAGATGCATATAGAAGCAAACTTGGCATCTAACAGCTTCACATATTTCACAGATGGATTAGTAGACCAGCAGGGACCGCAACTGCAGTTAAAGCAGGAAATTTTGTAGTTAGTTGGAGACTCTCAAACGGGTGATCAACTTTACAAAGATGCTAGCCATTCATAAGGCTTTGGAACATGCTCTAGCTGAACACCGACAACAAGTTATCATACATACTGATTCGAGAACTGCCATTGAAACCATGCACCAAGAACACATGCGTGACAACATCCATCTGATCACAAATATCATAACAGTAATGCAAATACTCAAACGTCAAGGCTGTCAGGTACTAATCATCTTGGTGCCAAGTCATGTGGTAATAATAGGGAATAACATTGCAGACGAAGCGGCAAAACTTGCAACTAAGAGAATAAATGCAGACATTCACATACCACAGAGAAAGATTAAGTACAGATTAAGAAAGAAATTTGAAATAGAGCAATGTAGAAAATGTACAGTGACCACAACACAGCAGTTGCAACATCAGGATCTGCGGGTTGGTACAAGAATTCAACCAACTACGAACCACTTATTTTGATGAAAGGGAACAGTAGAAAAACAGAAGTACACTTACATCGCATCAGGCTTAGATACCCATGTGAATGGGAATAGGCTTACAAGTTCCAGAAGATGAGAGGAAATGTCAGCACTGGAAAAATGCCCGACAGACCAATGGATCATTATCTACCACAGTGCACAGTTACAAAGCCAATAAAATATCAATTAAGATTTAGCAGAGCAGAAGTTGTTTTAACACATTGAGCATAATATTACTGAAGCGACGAAATGAGTCATAAATACGCAGTGTGTACCAAGGTAAAAGCTAAACAAGTAACACTTAGTGGGCCAGCCACAGGTTTAGGGCTTGCGCAAGAAAATCACAGCAACAACAAAAACAACAACAACAAATAACACCTCCTTGATCTGAACACACACAATACTGAACACTGCAATGAACACCAAACACCTCCAGGATTTGAACACACACTATATTGAACACCACCATGAACACCAACAACTCCAAGAAATGCCCGACTTAGAACTACAACATTATTTAACATAGTGCAAAGTTTCAAACCAAATAAGATTTTAACTGAGTTACAACAGAGCAGAAATTGTTAAACACATTAGGCATGCTCTTATTGAAGTCAAAAACACAACATATGAGTGTTGAAGTCAACATACAAGTCATAAATACTCCGCCTAAGCAAGACTGAAACGAGAAACGAGTAAATCTTATAGGGCCAGCCAGAGGCTTACGTCCCGTGCAGGTATATCCCTGCAAAACACAAACCAGCATTCTCTGGATCTAAACACAAACCACATTGAACAGCTTAGCTCAAACTTTACTAGGTTGTAAATAACAATAACTATGTTCCCTGCATATAGTACATCTGATCTTGTTCCCTCTATATAGTACACTTGGTCTTGTTCCCTCCACATATGTTACGACCCTGGGTTCCTTAGTTGGAAATCAGAGGTCAAATTGAGCTCTAAATAATTACTTTACATTAATTGATAGGACTGCTGATGCGTTTTTGTTCTTATCTTCCTTGCCAGACGTAAAACGAATCTTGTTTCTCACAGAGCATTAAGACTCTGGGCTTGTTGATTATTAAATATTTAACTAGTTATCAGCTATGTTTAGAAATGAGTAAAGTAACTAGTAACAAAGGCCGGCGAAGACTTGTATTGTTTGTAGCTGCACGATCAGCTAGATTATCTCCCGGCAACAACAACAACTTGGGGAGCTCGGAGACTGGAGGCTCTTGTGCTCTTCTCTGGACAACTGGGCTTGGGTCAACACCTTTCCTGTGTGGCTCTGTCTCCTCCTCTTCCTACTCCTCTCTTCCCTTATCCCATGCTGGGGTATGTCTCAGATAAGTTAATTAGTATTAAGGTATCGTGCTACTAGCTAGGTGTGTGTGTTTGATTTTTATGTATTGTGTAATATAAGCCAGTGTTTTGAGCATCCCTAAGTGTTTGTGTTTTGACTAGGGTACCACGTGGGGCTTAGCTACCCCAGGCTCCTTCAAGCATTTCATGTGCCTCTCTTCAAGTAGACTTTACCCTAGTTTTGTCCATGCCTTGTATCCTGCCTAAGTGGACCAAGGTAGTTAATGTAAGATAGTGTGGTAAAGTGTTGTTATTATAGTAATGTATATGGAGGGTTGTTAGAGGGTTTAATAAATAAGTTAGTTTTTGAAGTGTATCCATTAATCCTGTTGCATTGGTGTAGATGATTGTATACTAAACAGCAGATCTGTTTCTAAAACCTTGAAGTGTTAACAGGAACCTATGTTCCTTGGGGGGCCGGGCCTATCTATTCCACTGATTTTAATACATCTTGATTCTAGCTATTGGCCCTTCTCATTAATACTTCATACACCCCATAACAAGTAACATAATTCATAACAAGTGGTTGGCCTGACCAGGAGGAACGTTTTAATTGAAAAAAAATAGATTTTTGAGAGCCAAAAATAAAATTCTTGCTTGCAGAACGGTTGTGTGGTAGCCTAGGGTCCGGCTCAACTAGCAAAGGATACATCTTGCACTGACTGGACACCCAGCTGGATCACTTCACGATTGACGTAAGTGTGGCCTTGTGATAGGGGCCGTGCAAATTTTTGTTTTTTTCCAATTTTTATTTTTATTATTTCTTTGGCTAGGATCTAGAATAATTAGTGATGGAGGCTATGTTGCAGGAACTGGCAAAGGCACCTTCAGTAGTGGAGACTAAGAAGCTTACCAAAGCTAACCTAGTATTGTTAGGCAAGGAATTGGGCCTCGACTTAAATGAAACTAATAAAAAGTGTGTCATAACCAATGTAATTTTACAGAATTGCATAGACCAAGGCCTATTGGCAAGTGATACTATTTTATGCCAGGCCAGTCCAGCTGAAAGTGTAACTACTAGTAGAAATATGGAGTTAGAATTACAACTAGCCCAGTTAAGACTTGCAGAGCAAAAGGCTAGAGTAGCAGAGCAAGAGGCAAAATTGTTATAGCAAAATGCTAAAGTTGAGGAGCAAAGGCTCAAAAATGAGGCAGAAAGAATTAGAGCAATTACTGCTGTACCACCACCTGCCGGGGTCTCGAACCCCAGGCATTATGATAAAAAAGCATAACTTGCCTGAATTTTCAGAGTCAGACCCTGAAAGATTTTTCAACCATTTTCAGAGACTGGCCATGTCCATGAACTGGCCAGAGGAAGAGTGGGTGAAAATCCTACAGGGAAGACTTAGAGGTAAGGCCCAAGATATTTTTTATAAACATGCCTGACGACGCTTGTTTTGATTATAGTAAAGTCAGGGAACGGATCTTGAGGGCATATGAAATTAGACCTGAAGCTCACCGCCAAGTTTATCACAACCCTAGGCCTACTCACAACCAATCTATCACTGAATTTGCTAATGACCAAATAAGATTGTTTGAAAAATTTATTCGCTCGGCTAAAGCCGAAACATGCTAGACACTTAAAAATTTAGTTTTAGCGGAGAACTTTATAGATAATATGCCAGAGCCTGTAGCACGGTATCTTAGAGGAAGGACAGAGGTAGACTCTAATATTATGGATTTGGCCAAGATGGCAAAGCAAAGTTGGCGGGTAAAAGGCCCAATAAAAATAATTATAGCCCACATAATAACAAAACTTATACCCACAGCAAAAATTACACTGTACACCTGGTCTTGTTCCTACCTCTTACTACACCTGGTCTTGTTCCCTCCACATAGTACACCTGGTCTTGTTCCCTCCACATTGTACACCTGGTCTTGTTCCTACCTCTTACTACACCTGGTCTTGTTCCCTCCACATAGTACACCTGGTCTTGTTCCCTCCACATTGTACACCTGGTCTTGTACCCTCCACATAGTATTCCTGACTCTCATACTTTCCCTTACACTTTCTGTGACACCCTCATGCCTCTCCTACACTCACTCACACTTCCAGCAAAATTCCTTCTGCCTCTTCTGCCTCTTGTACCCTACATCATACTTCCAGGAACACCCTCCTGCTTCTTGTATACTCCCTCAAACTTCCAGCAACACCCTCTTGCCTCTCGTACACTCCCTCGCAGTTCCAGGAACACACTTCTGCCACTCGTACACTCCTTCATACTTCCAGGACCATGCTCCTGTTTCTCGTACACTCCCTCACACTTCCAGCGACACCCTCCTGTCTCTCATACACTTCCTCATACTTTCAGGAACACACTCCTTCCTCTCGTACCCTCCCTCATATTTCTAGGAACACACTCCTGCCTCTCGTACACTTCCTTATACTTTCTGGAACATATTCCTGCCTCTTGTACACTCCATCACACTTCCAGGAACACACTCCTGTCTCTCGTACCCTTCCTCATACTTCCAGGAAAACACTGGTGCTCACCGTCTTGTATAAGATGAAGAGCTTGGGGCCGAGGTGGGTGCTGGCGTAGTAGATCCTGAAGAACCTGCAGTAGAAGAGGGCCGTGTTGATGGAGTAAGCCATGCGGCCCCAACTGAATGTCTCCCGGAAGAGGCGCAAGCAGAACGCTAATGATCCCATCAGCACCAACACCAAGTCAAACTTGTTCCACACGCTACTGGCCCAGTTGGCGAGCTGCTCCCGCACCGTCGGCAGTGTCTCTGACCCAATCTGGTGAGAGCACGACCATTAAGCCCGGTGCAAGAAACCCTTGGAGTGCGCGGCCAGGTAAACAAACTTTGGTGTTTGTTTCATATAAATGATGTAGTGGGTTAGTTTTACTCACCGTATGTGGGTATTCAAAGGACTCATTAGTACTCACCGATATATCAGCAATTTTATCTTAACTGCTTATAAAACTAAATGTGGGTAAAGTTCACTTTCCCCATTAAACTTTTATATTAAAGAAATGCCTTGTTAAATCCGTGTAGATCAAGTATTGTTGGAAATATGTATATTTTGTATAGAAATTTTATGTATACAGTGAACAGGACAATATAACAATTTTTAAATCAGGCACCGGACCCCATGTAGTGGTAATAAGTATTCCAAATGCATATATTAATAAGTATTTCAAACGACATTATGGGTTTGAAAATATTGTATTTATGGTTAGTTTTGAAGTTTAAACGATCAAAATTCTTAATGACAGCTATAATAGGAATATATCTCTTAAATACGGATAAAAATCGAATATTGGAATTCTCAGAGAGGAGAGTGTGCAAGAGAGGGAGAGGGAGATAAAGGCATAGTGGATCACCCGAGTGTTTATGGACTAAACTAAGCTTTTCATGTGTCATGGGGCCAAGTTAAAACAATTGGTAATAATATTTAAACAAAATATAAATTACTTTAACACCCCTATTACAACTGTCTTTATACACGAAATATAAAAGACAAATAAAATAAAAGCGTAAAAACAAATTTTAACTTCAATGACTTCGTTCGTAAGTCATCACGTGCTCGTGATTTTCGTCGTCGTGATGGTCGTCGTCGTGATGGTCGTCGTCGTGATGGTCGTCGTCGTGATTTTCGTCGTCGTGATGGTCATCGTCGTGATGGTCGTCGTCGTGATGGTCGTCGTCGTGATGGTCGTCGTCGTGATGGTCGTCGTCGTGATGGTCGTCGTTGTGATAGTGGTCATCATGATGGTCGTCGTTGTGATGGTCGTCGTTGTGATGGTCGTCGTCGTGATGGTCGTCGTCGTGATGGTCGTCGTCGTGATGGTCGTCGTTGTGATAGTGGTCATCATGATGGTCGTCGTCGTGATGGTCGTCGTCGTGATGGTGGTCATCATGATGGTCGTCGTTGTGATGGTCGTCGTCATGATGGTCGTCGTCGTGATGGTCGTCGTCTTGATGGTGGTCATCATGATGGTCGTTGTCGTGATGATCGTCATCATGATGGTCGTCGTCGTGATGGTCGTCATCATGATGGTCGTCGTCGTGATGGTCGTCATCATGATGGTCGTCGTCGTGATGGTGGTCATCATGATGGTCGTCGTCGTGATGGTCGTCGTCGTGATGGTCGTCGTCGTGATGGTCGTCGTCTTGATGGTGGTCATCATGATGGTCGTTGTCGTGATGATCGTCATCATGATGGTCGTCGTCGTGATGGTCGTCATCATGATGGTCGTCGTCGTGATGGTCGTCATCATGATGGTCGTCGTCGTGATGGTCGTCATCATAATGGTCGTCGTCGTGATGGTCGTCATCATGATGGTCGTCGTCGTGATGGTCGTCATCATGATGGTCGTCGTCGTGATGGTCGTCATCATGATGGTCGTCATCATGATGGTCGTCGTCGTGATGGTCGTCGTCATGATGGTCACCCGAGTGTTTATGACCTAAACTTAGCTAGGGGCACCTAACAGCTAAGTGGACAGCGCTTCAGATTCGTAGTCCTGAAGTTCCGGGTTTGATCCCCGGTGGAGGTGGAGTCAAATGTGGAAAAAAGTTTCTTTCACCCTGATGCCCCTGTTACCTAGCAGTAAATAGGTACCTGGGAGTTAGACAGCTACTACGGGCTGCTTCCTTTGTGGTGTGTAACAAAAAGGAGGCCTAGTTGAGGACCGGGCCGCGGGGACACTAAGCCCCGAAATCATCTCAAGATAACCTCAAGATGGTCATCGTCAGGTTATGGGGGTACAAGCAACACAGGGGGGAGGGGGGACTCGGTGTGTTAAAAGAGTCAGTGAATAAACTGTAAAAGGAAATTCAACTGAAAAAAATATGGATAATCGTCTGTGTTTGGCGTTGTGGTGAAATTTTATTTAAAGTCACCATATTATTATTGTTGTTAATTTACGGGCGAAAAGTCACTGTGGATGTACGGTAAGGCACGTGTTTACATGTGAGGTACGGTATGATGTGTGTTTACATGTGAGGTACGGTATGATGTGTGTTTACATGTGAGGTACGGTATGGCATGTGTTTGCATATGAGGTATGGTATAGTGTGTGTTTACATGTGAGGTATGGTATGGTGCGTGCTTACATGTGAGGTACCATATGGCACGTGTTTACATGTGAGATATGGAATGGTACATGTCTACATGTGAGGTTTGGTATGATGCATGTTTATGTTGTTGTTACTGTTGATTTATGGGCGACGACGATCGTAGGATCGGATGCGCCCCAGCGTACCCATGTAGGGTTAATTGCGAAGCCCGGAAAGGGTGAACTGCCAATCCCAATTGCGAAACGAGTGACGTCAATCACTGGAAACTAATATACCATGCGGCACAGAAACGCAGACGATTGGGGAGCCCCAGTAGTCACCACTCCATACAGAGAACACTGTGTAGTAAAACCAAAAACTCGCTCCCCCCCCAACTACTCTCCAGCAGAGCATAAGCCACCCGCCCACAACGACCGAGGGCACACCAGGGGCCCACCAAGTCCCACCTACTCCCGGCACCTCTCTGCCAAGTCGGCGTCGGACACCGTCACCCAGCCGGTGACTACCAACAATCTCATGACCCAAGGCAATATGTGCGCCAGGCGTCGTAAAACCAGACCATGAAATAGGGATGCCAAACATCAGTTTCAAATCAAAATCGTGCAAAACAAAATGTGATCCAGCGGCTCAATAAGGTTGAACAAGGAGTCTGGCGTGTGTTTACATGTGAGGTACGGTATGGCACATGTTTACATGTGATTTATGGTATGGCGCATGTTGACGTGTGAGGTATGGTATGTTGTTGTTGATTTATGGGCGACGATGATCGTGGGATCGGATGCGTCCCGTCTGCCCGATACCGGGAAATAGCAAAGAGGGATGGGGTCCCTATAGTCTCTTCAGGCCACAGACCCTACAATCTCCTCAGGTTACATACTTTACAATGTCTTCAGGTCACGAACATGATGGATGAAGCAGAAGGTATGGTGAAGGATGTCATATCGGACGTCTTCGTCTCTCACACTTGCCCCGTCAAGGAGAACAGGAACCATGAGGCGGGAAATATTCAACTTACGAACGGTGCTTTGAAATCTAGGACAGTGAAGAAGAAGGTGTTCCACTGTATCATCCTGGGTCGGACACCACTGGCAGTATGGAGAATCTACCAGCCGTAAACGACGGAGATGTGCAGCCAGGCAGGTGTGCCCAATTCGGAGACGAGTGATGGTCGTGTCGAGGAGTCGAGAATAATGACGAGTCTATGGACGTGGAGAGGAACCCTCCCGGAGACCCGCCAGAGAGGAGGACCCGAGTCTGGCACCATCATTGCCTCCCAACTCACGAAGCAAGCTGTGCGGAGTTGCGGGAGAATTTCGAAAAAGTCCAGAGGCAAATATAAAGTCATGGAGACCATGTGCCACCTCTGCGGCTGCGTCGGCCATCTCATTGCCATTAATACCGACATGTGATGGAACCCACTTGAGATAGATCGACCAACCCGGAGTACCAGAGTATGACAGCAGTTCTCCATGGATCTGTGATACAGCAGGACGATGTACTTGTGAACGCCGAGATGATATCAGATGTAGGGCTGTAACTGAGTCCACGTAGAAAACGACCGCAGAGGGCCTGAAACTTGTCGTAGGAGGAGAAAGGCTAGTAAGATTGCAAAGTTCCAGCCAGGCACAAATGAGCAGGGGAGAGCTTCCACGTCTGACAGAAGAAAAAAAGGTGCAAAGTATGCTGCCACAGATGTGGATGGTGGATGATCTTTGTGGGACCCATCCGTGTAAACCTCCAAGTATCCAGTGTATAAGGAAACTCGTAGGTCTGCAAAAATTAAAGGGGCCAGACCCTCTAAATCCCTCTTCCGACGAGGGAGCTTGAAAAAGTTCACAGAAACCTGAATGAGCTCTTCTGCCCACAGAGGCACTGAAGAGATGATCAGGCCAGGGGTGAGTACAGGGATGGGGGAGGGAAAACTCTAAGTATGCATCCAAGGCCCGGACGACGAAAGGCAGCTGACGGAGCTTGGAGTCTCCAGCCGGCACATTCCACCAATTAGCCTCGAGTTGGAGGTGAGTAAGTGAATGGGTAGCAGGGAGACACGATATCCATTCGAGCTCTAATGGAGAGCCGAAACTCGGCATGGAGAGAGAGAGAGAACTGGCGAGGAGGGCATAGCCCTTAGTGCTGAGCGAAGGGCACCATTTTGAATAGGATCCAGACTTTCCAAGACCGATGATGCTGCTGAGCCATAGACTTCACATGCATACATGATATTGCTACGAATGGAGGCCTTGTAGAGAGCCAGGAGCGACTCCCGTGAAGCCCCCCATGCCGCACCAGAGAGCAGTTTCATGATGTTCACGCGACTAAGGCATGAGGCCTGAAGGTAATCCATATGATGTCTCCACGTCAGCTGATGGCCATCTAGAACGACCCTCAGCAACCTGTGTTGTGTGGCGATCAGGAGACGACAGTCCCCGACGGTCACCACTGGCTGGTCTGGCAAACAGGTCTAGGTGAACCTCATGATGCAACTTTTCACCGGGTTAATGGAAAGCCCCTTCCCTAGCACAATTGCAGAGAACACAGTCATGGTGTCTTGCAGGAAGCCTTGTGCATCCAGGAGAGTGGCACCATCCACCACAAGGGTTACGTCATCGGCATAGGCTAAAACCTTGGACACCCCAAAATACCGGAAGATCAGAGAGAAGAATGGGGAATAATAGCAGGCTGAGAATCGCTCCCAGAGAGACACCACGCGAG